CTACATAAGTCTATCATCTTATTGAAGGCTACTGACTGGTAATGATACTGTTGAACTGACAGTAGATCAAGCCACAGATCTTGAGTTATCTCAGTGAACCAACAGCTTGTCAGACAGAAACGAGCGCTTCTCAGAAATGTTGACTCTATCAATGACAGAATAAAATAATGTTGTTTGGTTAACATTTTATTCTAACTGCTTTATTGTGATTTTAACACATTTAATTTAAAACATTTACTTTTCATTTCTGTCTGAAAGGCTGCAGTCTCTGAAATATGTTTGGATAATGTCCGCGATAGATTATGGATTAGAAAGATGCAAAAAGATTTAAATTGCCCTTTACTACAGAAGCTTTTCAAATGTTTCAGATATATCACTGTACAGTAAATTGAATTGTTTTGAAAATGTCACCTCCAAGTCTGGAAGTTTGTGAAGGGCAATTTTTTATTACTTTCTGATATTTTACAGACTAAATGATTAATTGGCTATTCTAAAGAATATTCAAATAAACCAGTAAGGAAAGTAAGTGTTAATTGCAGTCCTGATCAGTTTCAATGCTCCACCAGATTTTATGTCTTTGTAGTTTGTACAGCTTGAAATCTATAGTTATTTTTTTTTCTTGGTCATGTACAGGAGTTCAGTGACATGTTTGAACTGATTTATTATTACTATATTTACCATAAGACAGATGTTTGTCAGAGGATGTCCTCATCACCTGTCTGTCAGACTCAACAACACCCAGCTGAATCAATGTCCTGCTCCCCTCATATCAACTGCCCCCTTAGTGAACAGTACCGTACATCGTAGCGTGAACATATGTGAGTGTGTGGAGTCTGTGGTGCAGTCAGATATATGGTCCTGCTGGCAGTCCTCATCTCAGAGAGATGTAGGGGGATGGGAAAGAGAAGCGGGAAGGGAGCACTGAGAAAGAGCTGGAGAGACATAAGTGTTGGCTGAGGGGAAGGAATTGGACTTTTCTTTTTGATGTTCAGATAAGAGTTAATAGCGACACATATCTGTAGCAATTTATCAAATCCACAGGACTTGCTAAAATGCTGTTGGTTAGCATTTTACTGAATGAAAACTCGCAGTTGAATCCACTTACCGAATCCAAATCCTATGTTGAATGTCATTAGATTTTGTTTTCAACATTTGCTAGTAACCAGAATTATAAATAAACTCAAATATTCAGTTAAGAGCTATAAACTCAACAGAATTTTGTTTTGAGAAACGGTGCAGTTTTGGCTGATGAATGTTGGAAAGCTATGACCTGAAAAATGAGATGAGCAGCAGATGATACACAATTTAAACTCAGTGTTTGACACGTTAGAATATCAAATTTTACACTTTATTTGCTTCGAATACCAGAGGTGCTGATTCATAACTGTTAAGTTGATAAGCTTCAAATATTGATTTCTTAAATCCTGGGGGGTGGCTTGATTTTGGCAACTCACAAAACGCATAGTCACTTGTAATAATACAGTGGTGTTGGAGTGATGTTTCCTTTAAAAATGATCTTTGCTCCAGTACAAACACTGGAGATACTCGCATCAACCAGACAGCAGGCAAGTTTAATTTTAGGCACTACAAATTCACATTGAATTACAGCTGATAGAATCTGCCTCTGGTGATGTTTGGCATTTTAACTTGTGACATTTACATCCCATCCTGACTGAAAATGGCAGCCTCTACCTCAGTGTTTTGTGTAGTACATTGATCCTTGCTGGGGGGAAAAATAGTAAAGTGAGGGGAATGGTTTGACGAGATTTGTTAGTATTAGAGCTAAGGGAATCTGGGTATTAGATCCCATCCCTGGACGTAATCCCTCCAGGGTTTCCCTAACCCAAACGACCAAGTTGGAAGTGCTTATACTAGAAGTACTCTACACACCAGACTCTACTTGGAATTTCACAAAGAATAAAAATGTTTCATTAAATCCCAGCACTTAGTATAAGAACATTTTCATAGATGCACAGGATGGTAAAATAAATGTGGAAAGTGTGTGTGCCTCTGTGTGTGCTTGCATGGGCAGGAGGTTAGCTTCCAGGGACTTCTCTTAAGTTCTTGAATTATTCAGTTTCTTAGAAACACAACATATGCAAGATGTGTACTGTTTGCACAAGTTTAGTTTTGAACAGCAAACTCTGTGCGCCTGCAGTAGTTTGCATAGGTAAACACAAACACATGTAAATGTGATAAAGCAGCATGTGCCTGAGCTGTTCTCTTTCCACCCACTTCCTTATCTCGCTTTGCATACCATGGTGTGTGTGTGTTTGTGTGTCAGTAGCAGATGTTCATGAAATCTTGCCCCTCCTGACAGTGGGCAGCCTTCATCACCTTCATCATTTAAAAACCTGTGCACACACGTTGTGGTGAATTATGTGTTTACTTTGGCATTAGTCAACTCATAGTTTTGCAGATGTTTGTTGCAGTTATCCCACAGCATTTCAAGAGAAACTGTTAGACTGACTCCTGTTTGCACAACCAGGACAAATCAACAAGTTAATACACTTTATTTACTTATTATATGGCATGATTTGACAATGGCTCAAACATGAAAATAACTTTCTGTAGGTGAAATAAATAATGAACTCGGCTGGAGATGGTGTGATCTCCAGTGCTGAGCCAAGTGTAATACTTTTAGGTGTTAACTCTCTTCGTAAAGGTTTGCCTGAAGGCTAGGCTTTACCTCAACTCAATACTGTTACACAGGTGTAGACTCCTAAAGAATGAAGGTCAGATATTTAACATTGTTGCTGTGTAAATACGTTCACATATTTTAGTTTATATAATCTGTGTGGCATACCCCACCCTTTTGGTACAGTGAGTCAGTTCATACAAAAATAATAAATGAAAGGATGTTTTGACCTGACGTCTGTGATATGTGAGGAGGAGCGACTGTTGGCTCAGTGGAGAAAATAACCTCCAATCTGAGTCATATTGCTTCGGGGCCAGAGCCAAGCAGAGATTGGTGGATGAGGAAAGGGGAGGGGAGTGGTGTCACACTGTAGAGTCAGTCCTGTCTCAGGGCAAGCCACCTGCTTCCCGCAGCCCACTGGTTCTGTTCTTGCTGAGGTCAAATCAACCAGCTTATCTATTAAAGATATCTAAGTCAAATGAAGATCTGGATATACAGGAGTACTATACACGGTTTGACCAAGCTATGGCAGTGCCATCATGTAAGATGCAGTTTTTAAAATGGCACTATCTCTGACTGTACAGAAGAGGGCAAGCCACTAAATTCCTGCATGAAATTCAAAGCCATTACTTCTTAATAGATCATTTCGCTTCATTTAATGGGTGTCATGTTGGTGATTTTGAAAAATATTGTTCTGCTGAGGCATTATTTAAGGTGTAAAGAGAAGCCTGTTTTGACACTTGTTTAGTTGATT